TCTGTAGGACAGACTTGGTAACTCTTTTTCAGCGTGTTGAGTGGCCTATTTCACTCAACGAATGAATGAGGTGCTGGTGCTACCGGTTACAACTAATGCTTGAGTTCTGTCGCGAGTTATTTGAACCACACGTGCCACCGTGGTTGTGGTGTTGCGTTGCGTATCTCATGCTAAGATAATTTCATCAAGGTTCTCTTTTTGGAGATCCCCAAATAAATCACCTCGACTATTTGTACGATCATTTACTGGACATCGATATGAATGAAGATTTTGTCGAAATCAAACCAGCCATGCAAATATACAAACTTCGCTGGAGATTCTCGCTTCTTTCCACCAATGGGCTCTACCGGGCATTAACAAAAACTCATCAGGTCGAAACAGGTAGCACAGTTCAATGCCGATGTTGTTGACCGGCAATGATAAGAAGAAGTCAAGTGTGATCTCGGTAGTGTAAGGGATAAATAGCACGGTATAGGAAAAGCACATATACGGGTGCTCAGTCAGTCTGAGGCTGACGCACTTTCGTCAGTTTTTTGTGACTTGACATTGCGTACTGTGTCGAATTAACAGCAGTTAAGAGTAAATCTCCATGGTCCCCTTATACGCGTGGAATAATGTTTACCAAGACGCAGATTTCTCGACCTTTCTTAGTACCCAAATCATCGAGAATGGGTTGGGAGCAACCATGCTCGCTAAGAACTTTGACCCTAGCCAAGGTCAACGCGTCCTGCCAGCTATGATATTTTCGATCAGGACAGAGATTTGTGGAACACTAGGGGTTGCTGTATCACGCGTTCACGGGACGTTAAAATCACTCCGCTATCATCCTTGGACCTTCCATGGGTCATCGAAAAAATGTGATCCCTTGTTCGTATGTATTATTCTTCAAGTGATCCCTCATCGACCCCCTCACTGATCTCGTAAATCGAGATCTGCTTCGTAGATCTATGCACTAATGATTTTGGATCGAAGCACTGATGATTACCTACACTTCTGACTTCAGGACACAAGGTCACTTTATTGGGTCTCCTACGCCGCAAGCAACTTGCAATTTTGAAAGCTCTGTAGGCCCTGCGATTGCTTGCTACAATACTTATTGATACACACATGCAGCGAAAGAAGTCGCGAGCTAGAAGTTCTTGATAGTGCAATCAACGAGCTGATTTTATCGTTCACGAGTTAAGCAGAATTTTTGCGGTGCTTCAAAAATAGGTTCATTCTGATCCGAACTCTGACCCGAGTAAGGACAAAAGCAAGAAACAAAAAGAAAGTAAAAGAAAGGCTCCCGACGATGATGCATCCGTGCTTCACATAACTTTAACTTGTCCTATAGACCAAACCGATTTACTGCATAGATGGGGAATGCGCTCGCATCTTGCAGGAGGAGCAGTCACCGTGTGTCTGGAATTTCTCGATCTTCTTGCTTCGCGGGCTCTAAGCATTCGTGTTCCATTTGCGGGCTGCGCGACGTCACTCGTTACGAATCCAATTTTCCACTTTCTGAGGATCTCTGTCGGTATCGGAAAATTGCAACATCCTATCAAAAACGAAAACACTCGTTGTTAGGGCTGTTTGTCATTTCATATCATGTTAACCTGATCGATAGAATCGAAGAAGAATGAATATTCTATGAACTAGACGTCAAATAATGATGCTAGTGAAAACTCATTTCTGATTACAATTGAAATAGCTCATTTCACAAGAAGAAGTTTATTCGCTCCTATGAGGTTTCTGCAACTGAGAGCTGAATGGGATCGTGCCACAGATTACTGCCTTTCTTGGGGTTCGCTTCGTTCCTATCGTTACAGGCACAGTTCACGATAAAAATGGTTCCTGAGTTTTCCCCCAGGAATAACCAATGTCCTCCTTTGGTGACAGGAAGGACGCTGTCGAGTCCCGAAACTCAACAGCCAGGGCACGAAGGGAGCTCCGTTACCGGATTGCCCGGGCTTCCGCCCCTCGATCGATGTCACGTTAGACGAGTGTGGAGGCGATACAGATTGCAATACCCGTTCTAAGACCCACACACGATCAGTTGATCGCCTAGTGATGAGGCGATAGTTTCTCCCATTTTTTTATTCTTTGATAATCTTTTTGCTGCTGCGAGCCTTACTCTAATTGTCTACATCAAGAAGCTGAAAAATGTGAGCTACTTTTGCTGTTGTTAGGGTTCTCTGCTTACTTATGCTTATAAGTGAATGAATTTTTGCTTACCGTAGTCTGTTATTCGCACGGGACCCACACCTACGCACTGACACACATTGTATAGCCCGTCCAACCAACATTCTTCTTCATTTTTCTTGTCTCATTCTCGTCCAGCCCCCTATTTAACGATTTTTTGAAGATTTTTTTTCACTTTGAAAACACCGATTCACGCAGTTTCTTCGCCTCATTGAATATTTTCCATCTTCCACTTTTCTTCATTTTCTGGATGACCCAAAATTATCGTGAAGTGTGCCTTTAATGGAACTAAGTTAGCGCCGCGAGCGCAGCACCCTGGGATTTCGAGGTGGTCACCGTGCAGAGTTTTGCTATTTGACTTTCTTACCTCGTTTTTTACTCCGTGCGGATATTTGAATACATCATAGCTACAACGGTAATCTGCAAGTTTCTAGTAGGCAATCCTCTTCATCTTAATGCCTCATTTTCCAAAACCTCTGTTTTCTACATAGAATAGACTCGATCCGTCTCCGTCTTATTCCACCTCACTTTGTTTCTTCTAAAAGCATACCTCATACATTTCTCAATGGCCGCGTTCTAAGTTGATTTCAAATACCCGTGCGCGCGGTAATACACTTTAAAAAAAGCGTTGCACGGCCCAAACGTGTCCATTCCGAAATCTCGAGGGCGGCGCCGCGCACGACGTGTACGACTTGACTTTGCTTTATCAACGATAGAAACGGAGCTCCCGTTGTTTCAAGCTTGGGAGCTCAACGGAGTCCCCTTCCGTTGAGCTCCCAAACTTGACCGCCCTCTCGCCATCATATTTATCCAAATAGCAGAGCCATTCCTAAGCAGTTTTACGTCGCCATTCAGAAGCTAGAACTATTGCAGTGTTTACCGGTTTACCGCAGAGGAAACAATTAACAAGTGTCCGTTTCGCTGTCTAAGTAAGCTCAGTTGGTTATGGATCGGCGTTTGCATATTTTTGTTCGTTGCCGATGAATTGTTTGCGGATGCTTCACGCTTATTTTGCTGCTTAATTTTATGTGGTTTGCAGTGAAAAAGCATAGAAGCCTGTGTGCTTGGTTGTTTCTTCACCAACTTCTAATTGAAGTTTCATCAATTGATCTCAACTTTCAGCTAATGACGTCGAGATGAATGTGCCGCATACGTTCCACGTTAATAATCAGGTGCATCCTCAAGGTTCCGCGGATTCCAGCTCAGAAAGTGAGTTGAATGATGACGAGCCGCATCTTCTGCCTCATAGATGCAATTGGCCTTCTTTCATCCAAGCTTTCATTCTAAACTCTTCCTTTGCAGCACTGTAGGACAAGTAGGTGATAAAAATTCGATAGAACTCGGAGTCCACACTGGGCAGTCATCTCTCAAATCGGTGCACATCTGAGGAAAGAGATCTCCAGGGGCTTTCGGGAAGTTGCACATTACTGGCCTTTTAGTAAAGTCCCGAATTTAGCCTACCTTGTTAAAGAAGTTGCCTTGATAAGATAATTTTGTTTATCACCTCAAAATCAGCGCTACAATCTCTGCGTATTCATGACACCAAGGGGGAACATGTTACAATGAAGTTAGGACTACAAACACAGCTGATAACGATAAACGCAGGCAAAAACGTCCACGGCTATAATTTGACTATTCCCCTCAGAGAAAAACAGGTACACTAGATGAAAAATGAGGAAGTGAGCAACTATCCCTTAACACAGCAAGAAACATGAAGAATAACAAACGAAAGAAGTAAATGAACAAATCAACGCAACTATAGAATCAAGATGAAGGAAGTTGCCCTAATCATCGAATAGTTCTATATGTAAGGAACAGGTCACTTTGAAAATGATCTCTGAGATTTCTCCATTGGATGAACCTGTGACCCCTAAGGAAGCCTAAGAGTCGGGTCGAGAAACGGTTGAAATAAGGCGTAATAAGGGTCCCAAAACCGGCTAAGCCGATGTACACACGCAAGGCAGATGAGTTGTTAAGCGTTGTAAAGCTGTAGAGGTAGCGCTATCCGCACTGGGATCCACATGATGCACGCACGCAGCCTACTGCAGCCAGCTGTATGTGATGGCGCGCATATTTTAACAGCTCTTCCAAATACCTCTTCCATGCAACTTCCTTCTTCAAATTCTGGTCCATACCCTAGTTTTACTTCTTTTTGAAACCTTAATTTCTCCGAATACACCGATTTTCGCGTATTCTTCGTCACGTTTGCACTGTTCTGAAATATCACTTCCATTACTCATCTAAAACTAGATACCCATAAAGGGTCGCGAACCGTGCCTCAAATCCAAGTAGCTGTGGGAGACAATATGAACACTTATTAGAGAGGGTGTGGTGCAGTAGGAACGAAATCACCGCAGCTCGGCGAGAGGGACGCCGCGCGCGTAGGAATGTAACAGAATGCTGCAGCAGATAAGGAATACAGGAATAAAAGAAATAACAGTAGAATCATGCCTTAAATAATGATCGCATATCGATGTAGTTCTATGAAGAACGCTTAAGCTGTAATAACGGCGAAGCGAAGTCCGCATCGGCCGCGTGCGGCGAATCGATTACCCAAAAGCGTTCCTACTGTCCGTCTCCCATGCGACCTCAGGCAGATGGGAAAAAATGTTGGCTGGCTGAACAACATTTATTTCAGGGAATTGATTGTAGTATGTTTTTTGCGTATCATTCACTTTTTCGGGATGTTGTTTAGAGAAGTTTAGGACAACTACAACGATGAACACCTTTATATCACCGATCCTTTTTTGGCTTGAGCAGTTCCAATGTAGAATTCCGTTTTTTAAGATCCTTCTGTTATTTCCTCTTATCAACATATTTCAGCCGACTCGCGGAGTACGCGACGATTTTGACTGGTGGTGGCTTCCCCATGTGTCTTCAGTACCAGATACATTTTTGTTGTTTTCTAATCCCTCTTGTTGTACATTGTAAGTTTCCCGATGCTGCATCGTACACTACGATATTTTCTCAAGTGGCCTTTGATTTCCAGAATTATTACTTGTATTTGATTCCAACAGCTGAGCACCATGGCCCAGATGAAGGCGTTTGAGGGACTCGTTGTGACTAAAGTGAAAAACTAATAACGCAGAATAACTTAGCCGTGTAGAATAATTAAATGGGCTACGGTAATCTTGTGATGTTTATATTGCAATCCCGACATCTTGTCAACACCCTATATCATTCAGAAAAAATTTAGCTGCGACTGAAAACAAAAGCAACGGTTCACGTGATGGGCAGCCTCACTTCTAAAATAAACACCGGAAATCAACAGCATTTAAAATACGCTGGCACGTGAGCCAGGAAGCGGGAGCGCGGAATTTCGCAACCAATCCCATAGTAGTAAACAATGTGTTTGGACCCGATCTTCGGCAAATGCTCTGATAGTGGTGCCGTGCCTTTCATAAAAAATGTCTCGCGCCTTTGCCCTCAATTAGAATGCTACCATTAATGGTATACTGCACGACAATCATGGGATTCAATGGATTTCATGGCGAAAGGGTTGGTGCAGTATAACTGATAGATGGGGAGGTAAACCAAGAGACCCGCAAAAACCCCAAGTTGTAGACCCTTTTTGGAACTAACCGTTTCAAAGGTTAGACGGGTTCGGATTGGACGAGATGACACACGATGGAGGGCATTGCGCGTGTTATTATACATTCACTGCAATGCAGCTCTATTTTGGATGTTATCCGCCCTGCAAGGTCGTTATGCGCCCTTTTCGGAAGTATAGACCTACAGCGGCGTTTTGGATTCGACCACGCCCGACAAGGCTTTCTTAGGGACCGTATGCAGCGTTCACTTCTATCATAAGGACCTCTTCATAACAGTTATTATCTGAAACGGTGCCTAGGGCGGGGAAAAAAGGCTTAAAGGTGAAATTGTTAAGGAAAATCTGATTTGTCCTCGGCTACGTTCCCACCCACCAAGAGATGCCCACATGGGAGACGTTACAAGCGATCTCCGAAGGGACAGGCCGAGCTTTCTGCGAACTAAACCCATTAAAACTTCGCGAACTCCGACCCATGAACTCTGACTCCCTCCTCGCTAGTTTTACGGTTAAGGTGCTGAACGATTTCCGGTATCGGTAACCTTTGAGTATCCACATGTCACAACATCCCTGAAAACGTCTCCTTGTTGGCCATTTTGGGCCGTCTTAGCAGATCGAGGCAGAGCTGCCTTTTTATACTCCTACTCATCAGAAATCTTGGTTTTGAATGTAACTGTCTCGCTCACATTTGAAAATTTCCTAATGCTATTTTCTCCTCTTACAAACGAATTCTCTGAAATGACTGTGATCGGCCTATCTTTGATAGACTTTATGTACTCGAATGTCAGATTGTTTTATTGTCACAAAAATATGTATTCAAGGGTTTCACTACACAAAAAATAGTTATTCATTAGAACTACAGAAAAAGGGATATACATATCTCATGAAAAATATATATGTATATAACAGCGCACCCGTAAAACAATCCTGTGATTATTGTTGTGTCGTGGGTAAAAAATGAGAAATGCATGCGGATTAGCAGATGATTGTCAATTGACAAGAGAGGAAAATGACCAGGAGATTTCTTCACATATGGCAAGGGACATCACATGGAGAATTCGTTTTTGGCTTACAAAGTGGAGCCCATGCCAATGAGTGAGAATACGGGCACGTCATTAAAAAGGGGAGGGGTAATAAAATCGTTGTGATGAGCTCGAAAGGGATCGGACAAGGGATAAGGCACGGACAGGCGAGGCACTACATCACAGCGACGACGAGAAACAGTTTTAAGGCACAAATCACGACGTAAAACAAAGCAGCCGGCAAGTATATGAAGCTGGCAAATCAATCAAGAAGATTCGAAAAAAATGGCAAAAACCCGGCGACAAATCAACTCATCAAACGTGAGAGCCAGAAGCGACATAGCCATGTGAACACAAGGAGGCTGATCAGTCGCCGTCTACTTGCACGAAATCGAGCTATTACTACAACTAACTATATGAAAGCGTATAGCATCTAACACGACAACAATTCACAAGCCAATATAAACACAGATTTTACACCGTACCTGACCATAGTAACATCAAAAACTACAGAAAATTGAGCGACCGTTTCACTCAGAGGTGAAACTTCATTATTAGTATCACATTAAGCTGTTTGTTGGAGCTGAAGTTGAATGACAATAGCATTCTACCAAGGCAACATGGCAATTTCCAGAAGCACAGTCTAACTGAGCGAGAAGGAGGCGAAAACTACTCGCATAACAGCGGCCTCCGAGTTGATTGCTGCCCATAGCAAAGTTAACTGCGAAGCACTCTTGGTACAACTGCTGCTGGACTGTGATGAGCATCTAATGTGGTGCCATCCTACGGCGTGGGACATATACACGCGAACTCTCGTCGTCCGATTCCTCTTGAGCCCTTCCCCAACGGCGCAAACGGCGAGGAGTGAAAAAGGTCGGTGTCGACGCTGATGGATTCATTGTGGGAGCAGGCTTGCGCTCACGTAGTAGTGGTAGTGAATTGTCCGGAACGATATCCACACAGTAGTTTTTACCCGAGTTGTTGTCCCAGAAATCTTGCCCATTCACGGAAAAACGCACGCAGAATTGACACTGTCCCTCCTGAAATGATTCGATCGAAGAGACAAATAACAAAGAGTAACAACAGAGAGAAAAATAAGCGGGTTTACGTCCCACGTGTGAAGGCGGACTTCCAAACCCTGAAGTCTGGAACTTCTACCGTCCAACCAATTTTGCTAAATTTTTCCACTGAATTCTGCACATTCTCCTGCCGTGTGGCCAAATAAGACCCCCAACTCAGTAGATGAGAAATTCTAGTTGTCTTCGAGCTCTAGGGATGGGTTTAAGCCAGGCGGGGCCTTCAGGTGGTAGCAAAGTAACGAAGTACTTCCGACGAACCTTTACATCTGCAGGTAGTATCATCGAGAATACGAATGCATCAACGTTATCAATACCGAAGACGGTATGGCCATAAGTTGCAGCGACCTCATCGTGGGTTTCCCAGTTGGTGGTCGTATAGCGAATTGCAACCTGAAACAGCATGAACTTCTCGCTAGCTCAAAGATCAAAACTCTAAGGTAATCAAGTTCAGACCTCTTTGGAGAAAGCGATATTGGCGACATTGATTTGCCCGTTTATGGTACGTTCATGAACGCGTAGCTTCGCCAAACACACCATTTGGTCACGAGCTCGCTGATTGTATTCGGATTCAGTGTAGTACACGAAGTTGGACAGTACCAAGCAATGTCCAGGAGTTGGAGAAGATGGTGGTGTGGGGAAACTGAAAGAATTTCTATAGCTCATTCCCCTCGTTTAGAAAATCCCTACGCAGGGAGCAACGTTACTGCATAAATTACTAGAGGACTTACAGATTTGTTTCCTTTTCCGTGAAATATTGACGTTTTTCCAAGTCTAGACCGAGGGCATCGGCAAAACGTACACGTTTTGCGCATGCCTTTGATCGAGAGCGACGTAGTGCCGACGGTAATGTGTGGTTTCTTCCATCCCTGCAATGTAGTTGTTTACATGAGTAGTTTCAAGTAAACAGCGGCCAAAATAATAAAGAGAGTTTGATTATGTTCACATCTACGGGAAGAACCAAACGAAAATTGGCTACCACGAAATTTCTTTGCTTGTGCAGTAACCGTACACCTTTAGTTTCCACTCCACCTACCCTCGACCACTTTGGGTATCGAGGAAGCTCTGAACCTTTACGTGGATTTCGGGATGTCTAGCAGGGATCCATCCATTTCCCTTCACATGGAGGGGTATCCTCTCGAACGATGCACTTCTATTGAACTGCACTTGAACTTGTGAACTATTGCTACTGTGAACTCAGCTGCTGTTGTACCCACGTGGGAACGTTGAAAATTGCAATAGTGATCGTACTCCGCTATCTTTTTTTGCTGACTATGAGCAGCGGCCGAAATTCTAGCAATTTCGCACGTAAAATTTACCTTGGAAAACATCTTTTTATTAGGGACCATGAGCAAGATATATAAGTCGTTCTTTGGGTTCACGAATGCTGAATAGTCCAATTATGGCAATCGTTAGAGCGAGTTTTGCTATGACGCCATTTCCTTTGAGCAATACACTCCAGTAACTGGCCCGACGCAAAGGCACAGTTTGCGGTAAAAATTATTTCTAAGATACCTCACGGGATGAATTTGAGACCTCCGCGTATACCATATATGGCATATAAACGCCCAATGATTGGCCCGTGTGGTCCTCGGACAAGTTTCACTGGCATTGTATAGGCTCCACCGATCACAAGGGAACCCATTAGAAAGTTTAAACAACTTGTCATGACCCATAGCGTTAGTGAAAGGCAGTTCTGTACAGTTCCGGCTTGATGTAGTCAGCTCTTTGTGCAATTGCAATAATTGAAATCTCGTCCGAATACCCCTTCCATGTTATTTCCGTCATGGCAATCTCGTCCAACCTCTATTTTCTCTACTTTTAAGGAGCCATGTTTTTCTCGAAATCGGCGAATTCTCCCGCTATCTTCACTACCGCTGAACTATTCCCAATCTATACTACCGCCTTTCTAATAAAAACGGGTACCTCAAAATTATCGCGAAGTGCCTTTAATTCCACTCCTTTCTCTCTCAAAATTAAAGTTCACCCCCAGAGAACCAGTTCTTGGTGTGAAAAATTTCCACTTCTTGAGAGGCTATTTCTGATTCGGCGAACTTCGAATTCTCACCTTACCCTAAAAACTACTTATGCGTAACACCACGACCGAGGAATAACCAAATCTTCAAAACAAATACGACTGCGGAGAGGAGAGATAAATGGCCCGAGTACGTGCTGAGTAGTAGCGTGGTAAACAAACAATTAATAATCATCAATTTCCAGCAGACAAAAACTGGATCTTTCTCACGCAGGCGCTATCAGACGACGGCGCTACGGCCGACATGGGCCCGTCATCGCCGCAGTTCATGGTCGCCACTTATTGGAATGATCAAACTTCTGCACAGCACGTGCTCTGAGTTTTGAGGTCAATTCGTACTTGACGAATAAACGAATTATTAGCATTCAGTTTTGTCAGCCCCAGAAGTTTTTTTTGAACCGGACACCTATTCTCGCAGAAGAAATCAAGTGTAATGGTTTAATTCAAGACTATCCACTGCTATACGGTTGCATGGAAACTCTGCAGAAGGTTCGGGATCAGAGTTGGACGTTTTTCACGGAGTGCACTCTCTGGGAAGGCAACTGGGAGAATAAACAGAATAATGCAGCGATATCTCCCTCCAACCCATTTGAGTAGACTTTGCCCCATTGGCCTTTACCCAAGCGCTGGGACTGCACCAAAAAACAGTCTCTTGCGTAATGACCCACACTGAAACGAGTGAAAATGGTGGCCCTTCTCAATAAGGCAGACTAGCACCAGTGCGTTACAAGTTTCATTCAAGTTCCCAGGCCCTCTATGAACCTTGAACTGAGGAATGAATAAGTACTTTTGAGCAGCACTAAAAATATTATTATACATAAACAGTTGTGTACCTGCGTGAGAGTGGTGATACGTTCTCGTCAGACGAAAACCCCGAGTCCGGTGACGGTGGCTCACTGTCTGTGGGGTTACTGTAGCAAGGAGATGGTGGATCGTACTGAAATAGGATTCCTTTCTTATTCATTCTAAATTCAAATTCACTCTAATCTAAACTAAATCAGTGCTACTCAACATATGTAAGTAGTATTCCCACAATTTATGCGAATATGACCATCCACCTACGAAACTTCCCAAGTAAAAAAGGATGCGAAATAATCGCGCTACGAAGATGTAAGCGGGAATGGCATTTAATGAACTGTATTCTCCCATGGGAAGGCAGATTTTAAGGTTGGATACAGGGGTTTGCACAGAATTAGCGGGTATCAGAGTTGGACACTGATAACATTGGCCAGGAAGAATGGTGATTTCAAGGAATCGCTTGCTCTGGGAGTAGGATTTTTGGGTTTCCTTTTGTTCGACCAGTTCCACAAGTAAACAAATAATTGGTGGTTGGTGGGTACCTACTGACTAACTTCTTCGAATGACTTCTCTGTCAAAATTGACGCCAAAAACCGCAGCCGGCAAACGGTTTCCTACTCGATCAGAGGGCGCCCCTTCCAAACAGAATGTCTTCACTCACCAGGCACAACTTTTCATCGCTCGTGATCAGTTTTAGCTCCAACTTCTTACGCTGCGAATCTATTGCCGAAGCGTAGAGTGCGCCGAATTGGAATGCATTGGTGGATGCAAACGAAGACGTTTCCATCGACACTCAACCAGAAGAAGAGATGTGGCTCGGAGCTCGGTCACTGTCGACGGCGGCTGCACAAAGGCAACTCGCCAACACTCTGCAAAGAGTTAACTCCTCCTTCAGTTCACTTTGGGTAGAGAATTCATTACATTAGATGACGCAAACAAAAAAAAAA